AGTTCTTTGATGTCTGATAACTGGTCCCTTCTGCACCTCGTGGTCAGACAGGCTGGTGTGCTTCTTCCATGTGGACTTTGATGCTTCTCAGCTGGATGGCCGCTTGTTCATCTTCAAGCCTTTAAGACCCCAGACGCTATATCTTTTGATAGCCGGGCACTGTTAGCTCTCTTCACCACGTTTGCTTGTGCACACGTTTGTCTTCAGTGATTGTGTCAGTAGAGCGGGCACCCACTGATATGATTTTAAGTTCTTTGATGTCATTGTAAAGGTGGGTGAGTGCAGAGTGGAGACTCAGAGTCCATCGGTTGGCAACAGAACACCCCCCTGCTGAGGGGTTTTGGGGAGGAGACGAGCTAAATCAGGGTGCAGGGTAGCAACGATGAAACATATAACTTTCCTCTAGTTCTTTAATGCTTCCCCCTCCCCCCAATAACATGATCCTAATTCTGCCTTGCAAATCTAGCTAGACCAGAGGGTGTACATTGGTACAGATAGCAACTTGAAACACAGGAAATCCAGGATAGATGACTTCTTCAGGACCAGCGGTGAAAGGGGCGAGCCCTGGAGGGTGAAGGGAATGCGGGGTAGAAGGGGCGAACCAATTACAAGAATCTAGGTATAGCCTCCTCCGTGGGGAATGGACAGCAGAGAAGAGGGCGGCGGGAGACGTCAGACAGTATAACTTATGACAAAACTATAATTGTGAATTATGAAGGGTTCAAGAGAGAGGGGGAGGGAGGGCGAAAATGAGCAAACGATATTGAGGGCTAAAGTAGAGGGCAAATGTTTTGAGATTGATGAGGGCAACAGGTGTACATATGTGCTTGACTCAATGGATGTATGTATACACTGTGATAAGAATTGTACGAGCCCTCAATAAAATAATTTAAAAAAAAAAGAATAATGAGGGTAACAAATGTACAAATGTGCTTTATACAATTTATGTATGTATGGATTGTGATGAGTTGTATGAGCCCCCAATAAAATGACTTAAAAAAATAGATGAAGTTAAAAAAAAAAGTAATTATGGTATTTAGTCTTTATTTCAAAAAGATTACATGGCCTTTAGGAAAGTTAATATTTATCTTTTTTAAGTTGCAGACCCCAGCCTCTTTTGCACAAAGTGTTCAGGAACTAACGATTGCTCTCCAGCGGACTGGAGACCCAGCAAACTTGAATCGACTGAGACCCCATTTGGAGCTCTTGGCAAACATTGACCCTAGTCCAGGTAAACTCAAGAAAAATGTGTAGACTATCTTTTGTTTGCTCTCAGTCCTGATCAGTGATTTTTTGGTTAGATTTCTTTAGAATGGCTCTGTGTTGGTAGTTTCTGTGTTTTTATAGCACCGAAGTCTAACCCTAATCTTGTCCCATGTATCTCAGGTTAGTTTACTTTAATTTTAATTTAATACATGTTATTGTGCTCACTTAACCAGGAATTGAGTCTTCCTTGGCGCCATCATGGTTTTTTTCTTCCATCACAAAACTGGACTACATTTTACTATTCTAGTTTTTAAAAAATTTTTTCTGCTTATGTCATCAGTTGTATTTCCTTGTTCCCATTTTTTGCTCTCTTGATGATATATATATATATATATTTTTTTTTAATCATTTTATTAGGGGCTCGTACAACTAATCACAATTCATACATACATCCATTGTACCAAGCACATATGTACATATGTTGCCATCATTCTCAAAACATTTTCTACTTGAGCCCTTGGTATCAGCTCCTCATTTTTTCCCCTCCCTCCTCGCTCCCCTCTCCCTCATGAACCCTTGATAATTTATAAATTATTATTATTTTGTCATGTCTTACCCTGTCCAACATCTCCCTTCACCCACTTTTCTGTTGTCCATCCCCCAGGGGTTATATGTAGATCCTTATAATCGGTTCCCCCTTTCTATCCCACCTTTCCTCCACCCTCCTGGTATCACCACTGTCACCACTGGTCCTGAAGGGTTCATCTGTCCTGGATTCCATGTGTTTCCAGTTCCCATCTGTACCAGTGTACATCCTCTGGTCTAGCCGGATTTGTAAGGTAGAATTGGGATTATGATAGTGGGGTGGAGGTGGAGGAAGCATTTAAGTACTAGAGGAAAGTTGTATGTTTGATCATTGCTACGCTGCACCCTGACTGGCTCATCTCCTCCCCGCTACCTGATGATTTCTTTTATCCAAAAATCTCTTTTGCTTACCTTTACTTTATAAACTCTTCCCTGTTCCTTCTCCTTGACCTGAAGTTACACTCAACCTTTATTTTTTACCTAATACTTAAAGCTTTGCTACTTTTGCTTCTATCATATTACGGTCCCTGCTTTTATTCATGAACTGAAAACTCTTAGCATTTACTGATAATTTCCCAGTCTAATTAAAAAGGTCTTTTATTTACTTTGTCTTCAGTATGTGATTATATTGCTGACCATGTGCTTGATAGAGAAGCTCTTCTGAAACCTTTTCTATAATTTCATGGTTCTCTTCTGACATTATAAATGTAGCTTGTATCTTTTTGATACCTTCTCCTGTCCGCTCAGGAATAGGCAGGTTGTGCTTGTGAAACTTTGTTTTATATGATGATGGTCATTCATTCCCAGCATCAGGTATTATCTCTGTATAGATAGTAGACTCCCATCTATCTCTACCACTATTATCTCTTCATTCTTCCCAGATCTACTTTTCCAACTGTGTGCTGAAATTCTCCATCATCTCCTGTGTATCATAAAGCAAACTCACCTCTACTTGATATACCCATTTCTTCCTATGTTCCCCCTCTGTTAATAGCCTCATTCTCTGGGGTACTTAAGCTAATAATCAGAGCCTTTTGTCTTACATCGTTTCCTTTTACTTAATGTGCATATCATTTCAGAAAACAGGATCTATCTGCTCATCTTTCACAATGTCTTGTTCCATCCTGTTCTCTGAGATTGTGTCTTCCAACTTCCTGTACTCTTATTTCTTCCAGTCCACTCTACTTAAGAACTTAAAAATATGTCTCATCTCTGATTTTTTTTTTTCTGGTCTTATTTCTATGCTTAGAAATTTACAGTGACACTCTATTACTTTGACCAAGGCATTCAAATCACTCAAACTTTATTGTTCCATCTTTGTAAATTTATAAAAATTCCATCCCAAAGTTGCTTAATCAAACCAGATTAGAACTATTCCTGGAGCATACATTAGTTTGATTCTCCTCCCCCTTTTGTCCTTTGATTATCTGAACAATCAAAAGTGAACTGCCACAAGCTCTTAGCACCCTATCAACTTAAGTACCTGCATTTTGCCATAATGTCCTGTCCTCTTAAAACTCCGTAAACTGTACTTTTAGCTGTGGTCACCCTCTTCTCACGCACTAGATATCATCACATTAAAGACGAGTATATGCCTTTTCTTGTGTGTCATCAGATTTTCTTTTCTACTGGAATATTCCCATAAACATATGAATACACTAAAACATGCAAAAGCAAGAACTTGTGTAAGATATAAACTGTTCAGGGAAGTAAAACTCAAAATATTTTTCACTAAAATGAGTGATAGAACAAGTGATAAGAACACAGCTCATTAAAGGTGGAAAACTCATAAAATCAGGGAAAAGAAGCCAGTCCTATCAAGTTTTATTTCTTAGGTTTTATTGTGTGTATTTCTTTCTTTTTTTTTTTTAAACATTTTATTAGGGGATCATACAAATGTTATCACAATCCATACACACATCAGTTGTGTAAAGTGCATTTGTACATCGTTTCTCAAAACATTTTCTCTCCACTTAAACCCCCGACATTAGGTCCTCATTTTTCCCCTCCCTCATGAGCCCTTGAT